TCGGATTCTCTGCAGGGGCTCTCTAATTTATGTGCAAGGTGGACTTTGCTCTCTCTCTCTCTCTCTCTCTCTCTCTCTCTCTCTCTCTCTCTCTCTCTCTCTCTCTCTCTCTCTCTCTCTGTGTGTGCGTCTCTCGTGTATGTACACATATTCCCTGCCAGAAAAAAAAATGCAAAACTTCAGCCCAACACTTATTTCCAAATGGCGCATGGCGCACCGCACAAGTGCACTGCAAGTATGGTTAAAACCGGAGTGAGGACGCCGCCCGGCCGGGCTCAGCCCGACCGGTTGGGCCCAGGGGGGGCATCCGGGTAAACCAGGCGGGCCAAAAAAACGCCCATAATTTTTTTTATTTTTTTTTGAAACCGAGGTCGTTCTGCGTTCGGCGAGAGGACTCCGAAGCTGCAATAGAATATCGGTTTTTTTGTTTTTTGGGGGGGGGTGGTCTGGGTGGGGATGCTGGGGTTGGGGGGTTGGCTGGGGGTTGGGGGGGGTGCATGTATGGTGCCTGCTGTATGCGGAATGTTTGTCATCTGATATGTACTGGTACAATCAGACTCGCTTTCTTTCTCGCTTCACATGCATGCAAACAGGTGACACAGGCAGAGGAACAAAAACTGCATACTTGCTAAATCTATCGACTATAACCATGATTTGGCTCTTGCCGTGCCTACTCCTAACATGGGTGTCCATCAAGTCAATGGACACCGAGTCTCCCGGCTGGTCAGGAATAGGCAGGGGTTTGAGAAGACCTAGAGGGGCACGCTTAGAGGTCGTGTTTCTTTGGCAGACGTTACAACTGCGAACATAGTCTATGCAGTCGGCCTTCATCCCAGACCATATGTATGCGCGCATAAGGTTAGCGAGAGTCTTTTGTCAACCAAAATGTCCCTCAGTATCGTGGCATTCCCCTAGGATCAGACTACGGATCTCCTCACTGTTAGGAACGCACAATCGGTCACCATTAGTCTTCTCAAATGGCATTTCATCAGTGGTGCGGTAGTCTGGTTCGAACTCAGGGGCCTTCTTTACTCTCTTGAGGAGGTTACTATAGATAGGGTCCTGCGCATATGCCTCTTTAACTTTCTGTTGCAGGTCTTTGCCTATATCCAGATAGTGAACTATTGCTCCAAAGTAGTCAGCTTTCCTACTCGGAGCATCCACGACTACATTATATTTCCCTTTTACTAGCTTGAGCTCAAAATCATATTAGCCCAACTCTGTGGCCCACCTAGTATGCTTAGGTGCCATCGTGGCCTGAGTCTTGAGCCACCGTAACGTCTCGTGGTCCGAATAAACTTTGAAGTGTCTCATAAGCAAGTAGTGCTTCCAGTGTTGTAATGCTTGCGTGAGAGCGTAGAGTTCTCTTTCGTAGGTGGATGTCGCTACCTTCTCCGAAGGCATCCTAGCGGACATGATCTCTACGGGTCTATATCCATTGTCATCGTCTTGCTGTAATACGACACCTATACCATACTGGCTCGCGTCAGTGGTGACAACGAAAGGTAAGGACGGGTCGGCTACCTTAAGGACTTGATACTTTATCAATGCCTGCTTCAGTTTCTTCATGGCAAGCGTGCAGTCCTTGTCCCACTTCCAGATTGTTTCTTTCTTTAGCAACTTGCGAAGGGGGGCATCGATGGTGGAGAAGTTCCTCACAAACTTCCTGTAATAGTTAGTTAGGCCTAAGAACGATCGCAACTCTGTCAACGTGTGGGGTGTAGGCCAATCTGTAATCGCTGCGATCTTTTTATCTTCTGGTTTAATGTCGTTTTCGTCGAAGACATTGCCTATATACAAAACTTGGGTCTTTGTGCATTCACACTTCTTTGCGTTGATCTTGAAGTTAGCCTCTCTCAGCTTCTCCAAGACCTGCCTCAAATGACCCTCGTGCTCCTGGAGGGTCCTACTGAAAACTAGAATATCATCTAAGTAGACTACTACAAACTTATCTAACCACGACCTAAATAAGTCGTTCATACATCGCTGAAAAGTTGTTGGCGCGTTAGTTAGTCCAAAGGGCATAACTATGAACCTGTAGTGCCCATACCTAGTCCGGAATGCGGTCTTATACTGATCAGCAGGATGAACCTCTATCTGATGATATCCGAACTTCAAATCTATCTTCAAAAAATACTTGCAACCCTACACCCGATCTAAAAGATCATCTATACGGGGCAGTGGCTCCGCATTCTTCACTGTGACAATATTGAGACCCCTATAGTCAATGCACATTCTAAGTTCTCCCTCCTTTTTGGGGACTAATAGAATAGGTGTCCCAAATGGAGACGAAGTGGGCCTAATCCAACCCTTCTCTAAGAGTTCATCTAACTGCTTGCGTAGCTCTTCCAACTCCCACGGGGACATCCTATACACTGCTCCCCCCAGACTCTATCTCAATGCGATGCTGGATAGGCCGCGGGACTACCCCTGTTGGCGGCTTAGCTAAATTTGTGTATTCTTCCGGCAGCTTGGCAATAGCGGGATCTATGGGTTTTTCCTGTTTAGGCTCAGTAACTGGTCTAACGTAGGCTACAATAACCTGTTCTACTAGTTACTCCTTCACTAGCCTCGCAAATGCAGGAGCGCTAAAACAACCATGTGTTAAGGAGTTGTTTACTCCTGACACATGAAACAGACGAGCAATCTTCACCTCGCCTGATGGACTATGGAGCCTACACTCATGCTCTCTCAATAGGAGTATGACCCTTACTGCCTCTCCCCAGTCCATTCCTAGGACTATGTCAAATGAGAGGTTGTCCTCTATGAGGAGAGTCAGGGAATGGAGAACTCTCTCCACCTTCCCATTTTTCTTTAGGCGGAAGTACGCCTGGACTCCCTCTACGTAATCCTCTACTCACATTGTGCTGCGATGATACTTACTATGGGGTCTACTAACTTTTGGACTTTCAATCCAAACTTTAACTTTTGCAGCGCCTTTCTACTAATGTAGCTGCGTGTGACCCTATTATCTACGAGGGCCCCTACTCTGCTCTTAAAGACTTCTACGTCTACTAGTATTTGCTATTCTCTACTCTCTTTCTACATCTTGGTCCAGACAGGCATTCTCTCCTTTAGCTCGTCCACCACGCATGTGAGGGAGGTGCCTAAAGAGACTCTAACACATGTAGTCTCTGGACAACTATCTAAGCACCGACCTACAACCTCTGCCATAGGCGCATATGGTGTGGGAGTTTTCTACCGACTCCCGCTCGTTTACCCACATGGTCTTATGGTAGGGGCAATTCTAACCCCTGTCGGCGGCTGCCTTTTGACCCCTGGGCAGCCGATCGGGCATCTCTATACTTTGGACAATATTTGATGATGTGACCAGGGTCACCGCAATATATGCACTACCCCTGGTCCAAACGCTGTTGCCAGACGCGCTGGTCCAGGCCCAAATCTTCCCAAGGTCGGCCTTGTGGCAGACCTGGGTGCCAACCACTTCTCCTATAGGGTGACCTATTCCCCCTATTCGATGAACTATTTCCAGAACGGTTTTGCGAGGGACCTTGACCCCTGCCTCCCGCTTGGCGGTTGCCCCTACCTCCAACCCCTTGATCGCCCTGGAAACGACCACCAGAGGCCCGACCCCCTTGGCCCTCTACCTCCTCCTTGCGGCCTTTCTCCGGCCGCGACAACAGTGCAAGTCCTCCCCTGGCTAGCGCTACTGTCCTCCTCCTCTTCTAGTCCCCACTCTATCTGGTCGTAGGGGACTTCATCCATACCACCTTCATCTAATGAAAGGATCAGGCGATCCTTTGCCTTGACCTGACCCGATATGGTACAACTTTCCACTTTTTGCCCTTATCCAGGTCCTTGTGTCAGAAAGTGGAGACCTATGAATCCCCCACGGCCGCGGTCACCTCGGGCACGACCTCGGGCCCGCGGTCATGACCGCAGTCCGCGGTGAAGAAAAAAGGAAAAAAAAAAAAAAAAAAAAAATTCAGAAAACTCTGAAACAAATATATGTTATGCCAAAAACTAAACTGAACAACTTTTGCCTTGGCGTCATATCAAAATTCGTTACCAAATTTGAGATATACAAACAAACAAAATCCTTTATTTTTCTTACTAAAAGAATAAAGTGAAGAACTTTTGCTCGAGGGATTTCTGTTTTTCATTTTAAAAAAAATCTAAATGAAGTAAAAAAATAAAACAAAGAATATACGGGTGTAGAGGGCAAAAAAACCTACAACCCTATATTTTTTTGTGTTTTTTTTGCCTATTATCCTACGAATTAAAAATGTCAAGGTTTTCCGACTGTGGCCCTCGCCCGCGGCCGACCTCGGCGGTCGGGATCCCGACCGCGGGCCGACATTGACCCCGCGATCATGACCGCGGGGGATTCATAGGTGGAGACTGACATGGACCGCGCTTCGAACGCTACCACTTCCCTGCTCAAAGCATCATAGTTCATGATAGGCTGCTGACTTTTTTCAAAGAAATGCCCGCGTAGCTGTTCGGGCATGACACGGTAGAAGAAGTTGACCAATTGGGTCTCAGTGACCCCATGGTCGGGAACGACGACTAACTCGTCCATCACACCTCCGAGTGCCCTGACACTCTTCCATTGGTGAGAATGGTTTGCAACTTATGTGAGGCTTTCACACTACGGGTAACGTCTGCAAACCGTTCGCTCAATAACTTAAGGAAATCGTTGAGAGGGGTAAACGTTGAATACATAACTAAGTCATCGGTCCAATTGGCGGCGCGACACAGGGAACGGGGGAAGCTTGCTGCTTTCTCTGTAAGAGCGTGGATAGCTATCAGGACGTGTTCGTCTGGGGTGACTTTCTGCAAGTGCACATACGTTTTAATATTGCCTTCCCAATTGTCGAAGTTCTCCTCCTTCTTTCCACTATAGGAGTCTGGGAATTTCAGTTTAATAGGCTCCCTACGAGGACGTGCTTCTTCTTCCTTGGGTGCAGCCAGCTTGGCACCCTCTATGGCGCCCGTGCAATGACGCCCTGTGTTCTCTAGGCGCGCCTTCACCTCTGACGCCCTGTGCAATGACGCCCTGTGTTCTCTACTCACGTGCGAAGTCTCTGAATCCCAGCCGTATAAATCGCAAGGCTAAGTCCTGACTCCTACCAAACTGATATTGCTCTTCCGATCTGGGCTAGGCGCTCTATGTGCCATGACCTGCATGTTCCCTAACAGGTCCGCCTGCACCTCCATGTGCTCTCTCTGTTTCTTTACTTCTTCCAATTCCCTTGCCGCTTGGCTCACTGCTTTCACTCTCTTTTTCCTTTCCCTCATCAGCCGCAGCTTCAACTCCATGCTCTTTTCATTCTCTATAGTCTGCCGCTTGAGTGGGACTTCCTCTGCATCCCACTCTTTCATGGCCGCCTTCTGCTTTTCCCTGGTTACATACATTAATGCCTCCTCTTCTCCCAAGGATAAATTGGCCACCCGTTCCGTAATCTTCTTCTCCAACGGATCTTCTTCTGCCTCTACCGCTCTAAGTTTTTCTTCTTCCTCCTTTGTCAACCTCTCCAGTTCCTTCGCCATCTCTTCCTCAACCTTCTTCTTCTTCGCCGTCTGTTCTTTCAGCAAGGCCTTCTTCTTGGCCTCCTTCTTCTTCCTTCTCTCTTTCAAAATGGCAACGGCTTTTGCATCCTGTTCTGCTGTGTAAGGGGAGGTGTTCGTTTCGGTACGTGTGTCAACCATGACGATAGACGCAGAACCAAGTAACGGTTTCACTCCTCACCACTTAGACTCTCCCCCTAACTAACTCGGCTTAAGACCGACTCAATCTAAGGACGACAGGGTCCGTACAGAACCCTACCAACTATGGTCTTTAACCTGGACTTTAAACTATAGCCGTCACTACAGAACCTATTGCTGATCAAGAGGCATTTAAGGAGATACCCCGTAACACCTCAGGAATTCTTTAACGTCGCAGACAGGACAACTTGATCAGGAGGTTCTCTCAAGACTTAGACGGGCCGTTGTGCAGCCCACAACTCAGATTTTGGGCCTACCGTACAACACCGAGCAGCCCGCCGATCAGTACCGGTCCTTGGGAGGGTTCGTGTCCTCCGGGACAGTCGAGTCGCCAGACACAACCTTTAGCCCTACTAAGCCAGTGTGGGTTTGGTCAACGAGGCCCTATCCTTCATACACGGAGTCCTATCACCTGGACAGAAGAGACTCAAATGCAGAAAGAAGCGACGGATAGACTCAGACTCTGCAAGTACCAGAGGGTGAGTGTACATCCATAGGGCGAGGGGATAGGCTAAGGGCCTGGCGAGATTATACCAACTCCACCTTGGTCGACATCGTGGTCAATAGCTCCGGTCAACGCCTTGGTCAACACTTGGTCAACACGGCCAAAACTTGGTCAATGCTCCGATGAACCCTCTGGTCAACACCTGGTCAATTATTGGTCAACACCGAAGTCAACCCTCAAGTCGGCTATGGCTGCCGGCACTTTCTTCCTCGCCAACTTCCCTTCTCTTCACCTTTCTTCTATCTCGCCCCTTTCTTCTTCCTCGGCTATGTCTCCTCCTTCCTTCTCTATTACTCCATGTTCGAGCTCTGCGACTATGGCCGCCACTTCCTTTTGGCCCACAGTCACCACACAACCAATCTTGTAGCGCTCAACTCTCTCTCTCTCTCTCTCTCTCTCTCTCTCTCTCTCTCTCTCTCTCTTCGTAGTTGTCTTCTGTGCAGGTACACGACACCTTCGTCTGCAGTACAACTATGGCGGACTTCCTTCTTTAACGGCGCTCTTCAACTATGGCGCCCTACTGCGCGCATTCTCTCCTGCTGCAACGGCGATGGCGCATGGGATAGCGGGTACCATCGTCGATACCAGTACAATCAGACTTGCTTTCTTTCTTGCTTTACATGCATGCAAACAGGTGACACAGTAAACTGGCGATATGCGCCCAACTCAGAACTCGGAGATATAGAACCACGAACAACAACTCGCTTCAGATAAGCTATGGCGCGATAGCGCCCAACAACTTTGTTCGTCACAATGCTCGAGTTCACCGTTCACACACCCTCAACTCTAGATCATCCTGGATATCCCATATGCAACACACTCTGTATACACACACACGCACACTGCACTCACCGACAGCTATGGCGGCGCTAGCCGCTGTCCCTACCTACAACTATGGCTATGCTATCTCCTTCAGCCCACTTCGACTTCAGGCATATCTGCAGACCACCTCGCACAAGACGCTCAAGCAACACTTCCTCATGGATTACACAAGAATGAATGAATGGCTGGTCGCTGCCTCTTGATTTCCACTTCTGTAGCTTATTGGTCTGCTCCTTTCCCATGCCCTGGGTGCACACAGTCTCACCCGATACTTGCTTGACTGGACCCTGACTGACTGGGACGGATACCACTGACTGCATGGGGACGCGTTGCCAACTCACCGCAGTCGCACTGCCGACGTACTGCAGTTGGCCTCGCCACTTGCCCACTTGCCCTTGTCTAAACGTGAGCAAGCTTCGAAACACCACTTTCGAACCTTCCGGAAGTCCGTAGACTTGGCCTTTCGGTACATTAGCAGCTACGACCTTGACCTTTCAGGCCTATAGTATCTATGAGCTACAGCTATGACTCCTAGGTCTTGCTAAGGCCTACACACAACAGGTCTTCAAATCGAGCCCCTACGACCTACGGACCTATGACAGCCTACCAACTATTGCGAATACACAAGTCACGGGTTCAACTCTCGGGGTCGACCCAGATACTGCACACAGGTGAAGTGAGGACTAGGAATCGAGCCCTGCGATCTTCATTGGCTACTGCGAAAGGTGGAATCCGTTTCACTGGGTGGAATGTTTGTCATCTGATATGTACTGGGTTGGGGGCTTTGCATGTTTGTTGCCTGCTGCTCTGATGTCTGCTGCATGTTTGTTGCCTGCTGCTCTGAAGAAGAAAAAGATGGATGGATGGAGGGAGGGAGGCGGGGAGGGATGGCGAGATGGGCAAATGGAGGGATGGAGGAAGGCTGCTAACCAATGGTGAAGAAGAACTAGAAGAAGAAAAAGAAGATGGATGGATGTGTTATGATCCTGGTTGTTTGTTGTCAGAAGACCAACACTCGCTCACATAGACTTCCACGTATGCCCGTACACACACAAAAGGAAGGGGAGAGGGTGGGAGTATCACACCGCACAGGGAGAGATAAACTCAGCGAAAGACTTGACCATGCGATATGACTGAAAACACTGAGAGTGCAATTCGCTCCACAAAATCCTCACAACCAGTCACAAAGGAAAGCCGAGTAGATCACATCCAGGAAACAATGAAGCAATGATAGTCCACACACAGTATACACACTGTTTATTAACCATGGTGATGAGCAGCGCTTCACTCCCCAACCCTGAGTAACCTATATACTACCCCTGAGCCCCTGAAACAACCAGCGCCACCCAGATACTGCCTCCAGAGGGAAGCACCACCCTCAAACAGGCCTCTTAGGCCACCCTGATACTGTCTGCACAGGGAAGCACCACGCTGAAACAGGCCTCTGAGGCCAAGCGCCTCTCAAAGGATGAAGAAGAAGACCAGCGCCACAATATCTGATGAAGATGAAGTGCCAGAAGACTTCCCGGGTGGAAGTCTGTAGCAGCGCCACCTCTCCTTACAAAGATGATCTCTGAGGAAGGAAGCTGCAGCTATGGTTGCAGCGCCACACATCCTGACACCCTCCTCCTGAGGAGGGTTCAGCAAGGAACGAACTTCTCTTGCCTCTAGCAGACTTCAGATAGCCCGGACCCCTAAACAGCCCCACGTGCTGTCAGAGCACAGTGCAGGTCCCAACTATGGCCGACACTTCCGGCTCTGTCTGTCTTGATTTTTCAAAAGAATCAGAGAATGGGTGGAAGGTTGCTGGCTGAGGAGTTCTCAGAGGTTTTTTCAGGGATTCTTACAGGGTACTTACAGGGGACCTTCAGAGGGTACCTGCTGTGTGGTTTAGAGGGAGTGGAAGGGGTTTCCAGGGGATATTTGCAGGGGGGTTGCAGCGGGAGTCCTGAAGGACTGTGACAGAGCACCTGTCAACAGTATTGCAGATGAAAACACAGACTTGAATGGGCTTTTGGGGGACTGTTTGAGCGTACTGTGGGTGGTTGTTTGCGGGGCCATTAAGGGGCTTTGCAGGGGGTACGAGGGGGGAAGCTTTCTGGGTGAGGGGTTCTCAGGTTTTTTTCCAGGGAGTGTTAGAGGGTACTTACAACAGGCCTTGAGAGGGTACCTGTTGTGTGGTTTTGAGGGAGTGTACGGCCTTTCGAGGAGGTGCTTGCAAGGGGTCTGCAACGGGGTCTTAATGGACTGTTCAAGCCGTTTGCAAGGGATACTTGCAGGCGATCTGCACGTGGATGTTGGGGTCTCCAAGGGTCACTTACAGGGGGTCTGCAGGTACTTGCAGGGGGTCTGCAGGTACTTGCAGGGGGTCTGCATGTACTTACACGGAGTGTTGAGGTGGTGCCTGCACTGTGGTTATCAGGGACTCCAGGGATCTACAAGCTATACTTGCAATGGGTCTACCGAGGGGGTCCTGAAGAACCGACAGAGCATGCATTCTCAAGCACAGTGCATTACCGCCAAGCACCCATCATATCCACCTTCGCCAACCTCAAGCACAACGCCTTAACACCAAGCACCCACCATATCCACGTCAATCAGGTCGCGCCTGGCTATGGCATCGGACTGCCCTATCACCAAGCAACTGTCTAAGCCACTCGACTAGACGTACCACATACATACTCGATCAAATGTCAACCTAACACAACAACACCAACATGCCCGCACATGGTTGCCAACACCCAAATGCCGAAAGGTTGGAGTTGCTTTGCTTTATTTTCATCATTCACTTGGCTTGCCCCCAGTCTACCCTCCAGTGCATTGCTAATAGGTAATCAAGGGTCATTGCTTAGTCGGAGGTAAGGCAATATGTGGGCGTCTGGATGTTGGTAGAGGAGCAATTTGTGAATCCGTAGAGGAAAGGCCACCTTGAATGATCAGTGCTGCTTCTTTCGATGTTATTTGTGAAGCTTCGTGCTAGGAACCAGTGTTGCAGGGTGCTCGTTGTCAGCGGAGCATAGCATGACAAACATTCCTGCCGCAGACTTGTGTGTTGTTGCTAATATTCTCCTCACCCAGCTTTAGTCGTTTTTGCACCTTGGCTCCATAACAGGATCCATTCTGCATTAACTTAAGTGGTTAATAGTTTAACAAATTGAAGTTTTTTATATGTCTTCGTCCGTGTTTTTCGTTATGCAGATATCGACTTCATTTAAGATTTCAAGCAACCGTTGAAGTCCATAATAAGCGAGATGAGCAGACAAGGTTTCAACATCTGACTGATCTCGAACAAAACATTCAACAACACAAGCAAACACAAAGATATTGTTTGAATCGACAAAGATTTGAGGATGCATAGTTTCGTTGGAGAACATCCTTGTTTCTTCAAAAACATGCACACCATCTTATATCTTATCTGGATTATGCATTGCCATATGATGGTATCTTGACACAGGTAACTTCCCATTTTTTATAAGCTTTCTAAGTATATGTGGTGTACTCACTATACCCATATCGTTGAAGTAACAGAATAAGATGTTATCCATGGAAATGTTGAATCTCTTATAGTGTCAATAGTAAGAAGTGGACTTCCATGCTGGTTAAATGGTATTTGTTCCAATCTAATACGAATCACTTTGTTGGCTCTTCTTTGAATGTAGGTCCAAGATCCATTTTGGT